ACCACCGGTGAAGATTATTTGAACCTCCCCTAGGTCGACTCTGCCTCAAACGAGTAACTTAACTACTGTAGCGTATTAACATCGCCACTGGGGAGACAAAGGCGGCCGGCCGTGGTAGATACAAGTCCCGGGCGAAGCCGGGTAGTACAGCTAGTACATATATATAAAACCTTCGGTCATCACCGCAGCGGCTTTTGGCTAGCCATCGAACAAAGACGGCCACTGCATCGCGTGCTTTCGGATGCACTTCTGCGGCCGTTTGCATGCTCTTCCTTCCGATATATTTAAATCAAGATTGAAAACTAATTTATTTAAAACTGCTTTTTGTATTTAGTTTGTTGTTCTTTCCCCGCACCGCCAATTAGCACGGTTGGCTATGTACAGTGCGAAAGAAGTTCAACATACATAAATCGTTGTAAATTAAAAACACCGCATTTATAAGAAACGTATAAACTATACGAATTCTCATTCTTCAGTGTTCATTTAACAAGTTTAACACGTAGGCTTTCGCGACCAATATTATTCATAATCAACGTTTTTGGGTTTAGATCGCGTTATTTATAAATGTGTCGACACATTTAGAAATAACGCGATCTAAACCCAAAAACGTTGATTATGAATTAATTTAACAAGTTGTCTATGAAGCTAAATTGTTAAACAAATGCTGATCGCGAATGCGGTGCACATCCACCATACAAAATGACGTACACGTGCACGCACCCGCAAACGCACGCACGTGCGACTTAGCATTGCCTTGCAGTCAGTCCCTGCTGTAACAACAGTTGTGGGCTAAGATGTTGCAGCAACGTTATTTCTTCCTTGCCGGTCTGGAGAGAATTAAGCCTTTTTTTCCCATCCTGACAAAGAAGCAACACGATCTCTCCCCCGCTTAACACGACACTCTTGACAGGGGAGTCTCTGATCGAAGTCATTAACTCGGCGGGGGCAGCACGTATTTTACATGGCGCAGTGTTGACCCATCGCAGAGGCGGCTACATCAAACACTCACGTGCATACACCAGAGCTGCTAACCAATGCCCCTACTTTAAAATAGCAGCAGGAGGCCACAAGTCATGTTCCTCCATCTATAATATAACATTCAATTTGCACCGATGTTCAAACAGATACGAGTGCACGGATAGACATACGAGTGGTACGGACATCACAATAACAAATATTTTGGACTCTTAAATTTACTTTCCAGCTGGCAAAAGACTTCCATCAAAGTCTTTAGTAAAGTACCCTTTCAATTATGTAGGACTGCACACATTGATCTCCACCGAAGGTTGCTGGCTGTTGTTTTCGAGCTGAGCTCTCCCTGTGTAAGGACAGTACGGGGGTGATGTAGGGACAGGACGGTTCCCCACGGCCATGGTTACTAGTTAACGTAACGGGAACAGACAGGGGTCACGTTAGGGTACGGTGGGACCTAAGTGGTCGCTAATAGTGATTAATGCGACAAGATTTGACAGGGTCGCGTGAGGGGCCTAACGGTCGTGAATTGCAATAAAGGCAGAGACGGACAGGGCCAGGTGCGGTGAGAGAGGGTTCGAGAATAGGGGCGTGGCCAGGTCGCGAGGGGGATAAAAGTTGGCGTGAACCGGGGCTCTGGGCTGCTGTTGTGGGGGAACTGCCGTCGCCACCTTGGAGCGGGTCGTCTTCATCATCTTGGAGTGGGCACCTTGTAGTTTTGGAAGGCTAGAGTTATGTTGTCTCAAAATAGAGCTACCTAAGTTACCCAAGTATATATAGTCTATCGCGGTTACTCGTTAAGTTATCAGTGAGTCGGCGGACTTTATTAATCATAAATATACATGTAACTGAACAAGACTGTTTCTGAGAGCTACATTACACCTGCACTCTTTAAGAACAAGTCAGCGTTGCTTTGTGGTAATCATCCAATTGTTCAGCAAAAAAAAATGTACATTATGATGCGGCATTGTTTTTCACAGGTAAGGTATAGTAAAATGTCACCCTGGTAAATATATGCTTTTGAGTATCACTTGCAACCCATATTCAGATATAGAGCATTCGTGTATGGTTTTAGTAGACAATAACTTTGTAACAGGCACAGATAAGTGGCTTCTACTCCATATAAAGTGAAACAGTCTCATGCTTATCAAGTAATTGCCATCTGACTGCAGCAATGCACGTTTCATTAGTTTAAGATCTGCGCAGTGGTTTTGCGCCAAAATAATACAATTTACAGCTCTGACTCCTGCGTAATTGGATGGATGCCAACTCTTTGTTCCTGGCATGTAGGACAGGTCAGTGTAGATAGACGATGGTTGTATTACTCGTGTGGGCTGAATGAGCATGCGCATTGTGCTCCCAATCGCTTTCTCTTTTTACATTAACAAAAGAAAAATAATTGAATTTCACATGAGTATTTCTTATTCACCTATTATTCGCAGGTCGGAAGGTTAGTTGCATCAAATGAGGGTCAGACTCATGAACCGAAGGTCAGACGAAGGCTTATTAATTTTGCGTTCGCAACGGAGCGACCACTTCAGTTGATTTACTGTCACTAGCACGCTTCCATTAATAATGTCTTTAACCTGACAGCACAAGGCATGGCTCCCACATTTATGTAGACACTTTTAATTAAACCGTTGCAGAAAATATCCAGAAATACTCAATTAAAATATCAAAAGAAAAACACGTAAAAAAAATTAGCAAAAATATATTCAACCACAAGTCTTGTGTCTGAAAAATTATGGGTACGAGGCAGTATATATATGTGTCTATCATACAACTCTCAGATAACGTTATATATATAGAATGCATATCACAAACTCAAGGTGCCCTTTAGAATGTTATAAAAAATATATACTATTCAAACGCATTAAATAAACCAAGAAAATAATCCATAATCCATTTCCCACAGACTAAATATGTTTCAGCAGCTGGAACAAAAAGTGCAAATCCTGTACTTTCATTTGAAAGGTATGATTATCTAAACACTGAATGACTTCGAACACTGACACAAACACCGTCTGCTAAAATTACCATTAATATGCTATGTATAATATACCGATTAAAGAATAATGCAGAAATAAAAATACATTCTGCTATTTTTACAAAGACTTGCGGACACAATGTCTGAACATTGCACGAAAAATCTTTTTTTTTAATTGCACACAATAGGCACAACAGATTATAATTATTCATCACTTATTAAATCACCAAACAAATGTTCGTGCTATTTTTAATACTTGCTTAGATTCGGTGCATTCGAAAAATTATATGCAGGTTGTCATATACATTACCTCCAAACAAGCAGTGTACCGATACCAGGAGTAATTATAATTCAGATTTCACTTCCATGACCTTAGTTTGCAGGCTGCTAAGGGAGATCTTTATGCAGAAGGTTAATGATGATAATCCCCTGGGCAAAGCACATCAATGCTACACCTTAACCTATTCACCTGCAGTTCACCGAAAACTGGGATGAAATTTAATTATGACACGATGCCGGCGTAAGCGAGCTCAATTTTCAGGAGCGCATGGAAAAGTGTACGTATCGTGGCATACAAGGAACGAAACACTTTTTGGGGAAATATAGTTATAATTTAGTTACTACTTATTTTTTGTTAGATTTTTTCTTCTCTAAACCTTCCATTTACAATGCTTTTAATTAACAAGAGTAAACACTTTTTTTTTTATAAAACCTGAACAAATAGAAGACCGCAGACATTGGGCAATTATTGTCACCGGCTCCTTGCATGGCTGCCTTCCTACTTGTCTGTGGTTGCGTGTGCCTTTGAGTTGTTCTCTCTCTCTACGAGAGTTGGAGAATACTGTGCGTGTTACAAGTGGAAACTACTATCATAATTAGAGAAAAGGTTGACTGAAATAATACATGAGAAAAATAATGTCACGATTGTTGGATTTTTATCATACTATATTATGTTACAAAAAGTTTTGCTGGCTGGAGGGAGGGACGGGTGGAGGGTGTTGTTCAAAGGATGTGCGTGATGCTAGTTTACATTTTAATGTTATGTTTATTTGGACATTTTCAATATGAGTCTCGTTCAGCTTTGTTCAAATGTTGTGAATTGTGTCCTGGTTCGCTTCACAAACACTACATTGTGAGATCACCCACTATTTGAAATTATTATCGAGGGGTCTTTAACAACACCAAGCACACTAACGAAATATCTGGTCTAAAGTTTCCTTCTTCACGTTATTGTTAACCATGTTTGACTCAACATGGAGATGGAGCATGCTTGCTTTGTTGAATTAATACATTTTATTTATATGCAAGATATACCATCAACAGTGACTGGTTCCATCAAGAGGGAGGAAGGGTATTCATCTTCAATTTTCTACATCGTATTTTCATGAGTTTCACTTTCTTGGGTCATTATTATTGTTGTGAAATAAGCTGTGGAGCATTAGTCCTCATTGCATTATTCCATTGAGCCTTGTTATAGATATGTTGTAACCTTTTGGAGTCAATGCATTCATTACCCAAATGAATTTGAAGGTGTGCAGATACACAAAGGTAATAAAGCATTCTGTTTTACACCAAGGAATGCAAAATCATTATCGACATGCTCTTTCGGTAAGTGGAAAGCAAGAGAAATATGTAGAAGACCAATGTTTTAAAAGCAATACCTTAAAAAACAATGCAACAAGCCAAAATAACATTCAGGATGCTATGTCATAACAACAATTGGCTACTCATAGTAAACATTTGGCTTTCAAAGGCTGCAGTTGTGCCATTCCCAACAACGTTGCTAAATAAATCTGGGATATTATTGTGGGATATTATTGTGGGATATTGTGCAGTACAATGTCGCACTAGCTGGCCATCATGTATCCATACTGGCCGATTAACTGCCCACACCAGGTACGGTATTTTTTCCACAGTGTAACTGTCATTTTCTGCCGGTGTTGACACATCTGTCCTTTTCACATATGCGCCTATACCACAGTCGCCCGAGAGTCGGATATGCGATGTTGTACTGTACTCATGCAACTCAGAGACCACTCACCAGTGCTCCATGTCCGTGTCGCAGTTGCAGTGGAACTTGGGGTCTGAGCAGTTCTCTGTGATTCCGCAGGCACACTTCTGTACCCCAGGGATTGATCCTCCCCAGTATCGCTGCTTCTCATTGGTCCTTCCGACCCACCAGGTGTATGGCTCTCCATCTGACAGCAGCAGAGCATGATCATAATTAGAGGACCCTCACTGCCATGAGATGGTCATCATAAATCTCGATTTTCCACACGTCAAAAATCCCTCCAATGTTGATTGCAGCTAGGCCTCAAATGTTTTTCCAAATGTGTGGGAAAATGATCATGGTTATCCCACATAGACAATGGTCCATGATAAAGGAAAATTCGCATTTTCATCATTGGCCCCATAGAAATGAATACCATAAATTGCTTAAAGGAGCATGGAGACATATGTGTGTACACAAATATACTTGAATTAGTCAGCATTTGACATCTCAACTAAAAACCACTTCTGTAAAGCATGTTCATAGTCTTTAAGTCTACAAAAGACTGTCTACAAAATAAAATGAATAATGAAAAAATATGCGGTCATCCAAGCACTCATATACCAAGGCCCTCATAATCTACATTGAAATGATCAAAGCCGTTTATTAAAGTTTATTAAAGATGGAACAATTACACTGAGATTGCATAAAACAATTACAAACCTGAACAGGAGTCAAGTCAGTAAATGCATTCTCACTAAGGCTATTCACAGCAACACTTGAATATATTTTCTGATAACTGGATTTGATGAAGACATACAGGATTAATCATCTCAGATTCACTGACAAAATAGTCATGATAACAACAATGAAAATAAAGGACAGGAAAATATTTTGAAACTTCTTCTTGGTTCTTTCGGTAAAGTCACGTAGAAGGGAAATAATAAAATAATAAAAATAAAACAATAAAATACAATTCTCACGACGTTTCGGCCACAACGCAAGCAGCCGTCCTCAGGTGAAGAGCAGGTCTGTCGGAAAGACAGCGTCTGAATGAACACCAACAATCTTGGCAGCGTATATTTAAGCTGGGTTAGAAGAGGAGGGAGCCTTGACAAATGAATTTGCATATCAACAGGAATTTAGCATATTTATGGAAAATGCAGATATGGGATTAGTCACTACTTGTAGAATGTGTAGGTGATGGGGGGGGGTCTCAAAGTCATATTATGCTCGTGTATTATGTAGGATTAGCAGTAACCCAGCTTAAATATACGCTGCCAAGCTTGGTGGTGTTCATTCAGACGCTGTCTTTCCCGACAGCCCTGTTCTTCACCTGAGGACGGCTGCTTGCGTTGTGGCCGAAACTTCGTGAGAATTATATTATTATGTTTTATTTTTATTATTTTATTATTTCCCTTCTACGTGACTTTACCGAAAGAACCAAGAAGATGAATCCCTGCAGTCACGAAAGCTTTAAATCAAAATTTAGAAACTTTACAAAGCAGACTAAAAAGTGGAATAAAAGTTAAATACGAGCGAATAAACACTCATGGCCTACAAGTACACTGAACAAAACAAATAACCGTTGGAGAAACACAACTGGAAAATTCCAAAGCGTTCAATTGAAAGTGGACTGGGATCAAAATAATAAATTGGACAAGTCGGTGTGAATAGGATGGAGTGCTTTAATAAAATAATGTGATTATGAAAATCAACACACCAATGTGTCTCAGGAAGAACACCGAGTACTCCCTGCCATGATGTGGGCTCGAACAATGAACATTGAACAAAATCTGAAAAGTATGCAGGGTAAGCAGCTGGCGAAGAAACACAAATTCAAGATATACTGACTGTTAAGAAGATAAAGTGAGCTTGGGCAGAATTAATCACGGGGAGGGATGATAGCAGATAGATGAGACTAGTTGATGCAATGGTATCTATGTATGTTGAACTTTTTTCGCACAGTGCATAGCCAACCGTGCTAATCAGGTGTGGGAAATGATAGCCAATAGAGGGAACGTGCCCGAGATGACAACCACCCAAGAGATGGAATGATGATGAGACCAGCTGATAGGCAGAAGTGGGATGGATTGTAGCATTGCAAGAACGTGACAGATGTCGACGTGGACGGAACATGGCTGGTGATTGTCAATCAGCACAATGATCACATTTATATTATTGCTGCTATAATTACCATCATAACTATTATACGTTTTTTTAATAATCAATTTTATTATTGTAATGCAAGACCTTGATTATTAAATGTTTGTAAAACAACACATTTTCGGCTCACGCGCAGATTGATTGTAAAACTGCAAATGCATACGATTAAAAATACGAGCTGCTGTCAAGTTAATTCTTCCCAATGACACATGGTGTAATTAATTACCAATAGCACCGCCATAATTACGTGAAATATGAGATCAACACAATGTGTGAAGCACTCTTGCTGCGGCGGCCGCTAATGCATAATCTTCGGCGGAGATAAAACATTGGCCCATTAGATTTACAAGTGTTTCAGTTTTCAAAGGATTTTTCCATTAAATTTAAAAACCCTCATTAATTTATCTGGTGATTATAAGCAGAGGCATTCAGCGCCCTCCTGTAATATGAGAAGCCATCAGCAGCCCGAGCGTGGACTCCAGACTGCACTCCTCCCCGTGGGTCACCTTGAATTAGTTATCGCAGTTCAGACCTTAACCCATACATTTTCTACGGGATTTCAAGCATATTATTTGAGATAAATGCAACAGAAGAAATAAAAAGGAGCTAGGAATGAATAATAAAATGAATACATAAATAAAGCGGCCAAATGGTAATGGGGCCCGATAATTTTTAAGAGGCGTATGTCAGGGACCTTGTAAAATGAACAGCACTCTTAAGGCCAAAGATTTATTTGAAAATCTTTATAGAGGGTAGCTCCATTAAGCTGAATGTGGCTCGTTTGAAAGGAGGCCATGTTTTGTTGCAAAGGATATTGCCTATTTATTGCAGGTAGTTAATTTGGTCAGGGCACTGGCGTACATTGGTCTTATCTTGCACAGGATATCATGGCCTCCTTTTAATGTCCACTTGTGAGCAGCTCGCAGGCGATTTTGATACATTGCCAACATATTATCTGTGTGGCAGCAGTGGCAGCTTCAAACTGGCAAAGTGTTATAAAAAAAATGTTGTACCAAAGGCTTTTAAATTTGCGGACCCCCACATAACGTCATAACAGTGCAGATTTTCACATCTCTCTCGCTTAAATTTATTTTAAATGTATACTCAAGACCAGACGGTTCACTTGAAAACTCCCTCTGCAGATGTGGAAAATAGGTACTGTAATATGCATTAGGCACGTCTATTTTAAGGGTAGATGCACCCAGTAAGAATACAACGTTTACTCTTAATTGTTGTGAGTAGTAATGGATGCCAGGATAATTTACATTTCAGACCCAAGATAAATATTGTCTTGTCGTGTGGCTCATCTTCCCTTTTTACTCCTCCCAATCACTTCCCGTCGCCTGTTAACGTCACCAAAAGTGACGACCCTTGAAACATCAATTTTATGCATCAATACTTCATGTCCTTTCCTCTCTGAAAATACCAATTTGAGCAAATAAAAGAATGGAAGGTCAACACGAGAAACGCTCCATCTTTATTTCACCGATCGGACCCCTAGAAAACCACCACACAGCTCGCAGTTCAGTGCTATTTATGTATTATTGATTCACAGTATTGAATATCTTCCTACAGGGCAACTCAATTCAGCAACAAAAAGCTGTGGTTTGAAAACATCCTGCTCCTCTAGAGACATGCAGCAACATTTCTGCGGAATGTTTAACGTTCTCAAGGAGAAGTATGACCATTTTTTTTTCTGTTTCCCCAATTATCTTTGAGTTGTGCTTTTTTTGTCATGCCACAAGAAGAATAGATTTCCATTCTAAAAGTCTCGCAGGAAGCAGCGAACTGTCACACATTAGAGAATCGCATCTGGAAAATTACAACACAGAACTACTTCTGAGGGCCTCTTGTGCCTCATCCATGCTCGGTAATACACCTTCTCGTATGTCCTGCTCAAGAGGCATTTGTTGCATAACAATTTTAAAAAAAGTTGTACTCAAATCTATTAATCATGGGATATTTTATAATCGATATCAAACCCAGGTACTGAGCCACCTGTCCATTGTGACTGGTTTGATGTTGCATTTATCAGCAAAGACTGAGTTGCAATTTCATAAACATTAAAACTAGCCAGGGAATGGCTGCCTCTAAGCCAGCACTTCCACCCCCAAGGTAGCGGCAAATATGCTGGCATAGCAAAGGTTCAATGGGGTAAAGTGTAGAGCTTAAAAACATGCAATTTGGCTCAGACCACAATTGGCAAAATGCACGATTTAGTTTGCATACTACTGAGGATCGTAAACAGAAAACGGTTTAGCTGAAAGTTCTCTAGAGATGGTAAATAAATATATAAGTGTATTGATTGGTTTGCAGCTTGCGCTAATGAAAAGGCTGGCATGGATGAGGATTTTTTTTTATCGCAACAGTGAAGGATTATCCACGGATCATTGAACAGTTTACTGTGTGCATCACGAGGCACTTGTTTTGTGCTAAACTTGTCTCCTGTTCAACATTTTTATTTTTAACCATGCATTCTTGCTCCGACGTTAAGTGTTGTATTTACACGGCGTTATTTCGCAAACCCGCGGATGTGGAGGTGTGCTGCAATCAATTCTCTGAGTGTGAATGCGCCAAAGAGCTATAAACGCGACGATTTTTCACAGCCGGTGTTGCCCGGGTTCGTGATGAGTGCTCATTTTTCCAATCTCGTATCCCTTCCCCATCCGCAGACGCCTCTTGTGGCCAAGCGAGCTCCCCCCCCCCCCCCCACCGGATGGGCCCCCCAATCAATAACGAGTGTTTTGACTCCAGTCTTCGTTGTTGTGACTATTCCCGTCGTGACGCCTGCATCAAGTCGAGGTTTCTCATCATCGCTCGGTTTGACGATAACGCAACTCAAAAGTGAAACGTATCACGGGTGAAGAGGAGGAGGAGGAGGGGGGGACAACTCGCACGAGCCAGGGGCTGTTGACTCCTCTCTGCGCATTGGCCTTAGAAAATTACCTGTCATTGTGTCCAGCTCGCAGCGCAAGGCTCGCTCGCCCACCGGCAAGCGGACTGAGTTGTCATTGTCAATTGGCGGTCACAGAATCAAGCGCAGAAATTTCAAAGCATTTCTATTTTGTCAGCGCAAAACGTGGCCCTATGATGCAGTGTCGCACCAATTTAACATTTTTGTTCTCAGAACAGGATTTGAACACTGGCTAACACCCTCTGACCCGAGACGTTGCTATTGTAGGGAATGAAACAGTTCATTTAGAAACTCGCTTGCGTCGGCAGGATACAAGGCAAAACAGTGGGCCTCAAACCGCAGGGACGTTGGGCAACAGCAAAATGCCTTTGGGGATGTTTAAAAGCACCTAAGTGCTTTGTCTAATATGCATCGCTGTTTCCCAGCACTGCAGAAGAAAAAACAAATTTACAAGTAGATTCCTGTAAAACATAGCATGACGTTTTTCACATTATATACAATGTGTAGTGACTATTCAGTGGATAATACCTGTTTCGATCAAGGGATCAGAAACATGGACACTGACGAGGAAAATGGAACGAGAGCTAAAAATGTGCAGAGAAACATGGAGAGATGCGTGATTCGAGTTACATTGAGAAACATTTAATGAGGAACACATGGATTAGAGAATGTACACAAAGTGGGCTTAGACAGAACACATTGCGAGAAGGGACGATGACCGGCGATCAAAACTAATGACAGCGTGTAGGGAACATGTCCCAGGTATATGTCTACTATGGAGATGGAACAATTAGATAATCTTGTGCGCAGGATCTATATGCATTATTGCATTGCATGACCATACGATATGGTGATGGCTTGAGAAGACCTTCATCCACAGTATATTGACTATGGCTGATGATGATGTTGCTATACGGTATAGCACAACTGGTTTTTAACCGTGCATAACATATTCTTGGTTCTTTCGGTAAAGTCACGTAGAAGGGAAATAATAAAATAATAAACATGTCAAACAATTAAAATTATCACGACGTTTTGACTGCAATACAAGCAATCATCATCAGGTGTGAATTCCACAGCAAGAACATGTGTATATTGAAACAAGTAATTTTACAGATAGTTGCACTGATTCATTGGTCTACAGCCAAAATGCTTCCGAAATAAATGTAGTCCAACTTTACTCATTCTGGGTCACTGAGAATGAAAATGATGCTTAAAATTGTTGATTGGCGGAGGATAAGTGAGTTTTAAAGAGAAGGGATCTTAATTGAAACCAGAAATGACGAAAATACATCGTTGACTGGATCTATGAATAAATCTGTGACTGAGTTTAGACAGTACTTGCTTTTTGAGCAAAACAATGAATGATGCAATCTGAACCTGGTATTGTGTCATACATGATATGAATTGCATCATGTTATTCCTAGAAGTCATGGATGATGCAATCATAACTAGGCTGAACAAATTGCCCTATATCAGCTCTATAAATCATAGTGTCGTGCTCTTTTATTTGTCAGTGTTTGATTTTGCAAAGGGACACATTTCTGTTAAGCCAAAGTCAACACAGATGCCTCGAACTTGTGTGAACAAAGCAGATAACGTCTGCTATGTTTGTGGTGAAGTGACGTTTGCATCACAAAAGCGCAGTATAACCACTATGGTTAAGAAAGCATATCACCTTTCATTTGGCTGCTAAATTGGAGATCAGGACAAGATGTGGGCCCCACACATATGCTGCAACACTTGTGCATTTTGCCATGAATTCTAGTTGGTCATGCAGCCCTTATAAGGAAACCTATGACAACATGAACCAACTTTTGAGGTGCATAAACTATGACCAACAGCTTTGTGGTGATTTCAAGGTTGTTGCTCTCTTGCTTGGTCTGCAGACTGGATACAACAAAGTACTGCTGCTATTTCTCTGCGAATGGGATAGTCGTGCGAGAGATTCCCACTACATCAAGATAGATTGGCCACTCTGACAGTCATTGGAGCCTGGGAGGAAAAGTGTTCAGTATCCACCACTTGTTGTTACCACCCTTATACATCAAGCTGGGTCTGATGAAGAACTTTGTCAAAGCCATGGACAAAACACAAGCAGCTTTCAAGTACCTCCGTGGAAAATTTCCAAGGTTAAGTGAAGCTAAGATAAAGGAAGGTGTCTTTTTTGGTCCTCAGATTCGTGAACTTCTGCAAGATGATACATTTGACAGTGCACTGCGTGGCAAGGAAAAGATGACAGCATGGGAAGCCTTTCAGTTAGTGGCAACTATTTTTCTCAGAAACAACAAGGCAGACAACTACAGGGAGTTGGTTGAAAACCTCCTCAAGGCACACAACATGTCACTAAAGAAAGTTTTTTGCACTCTCATCTATATTTTTTCCCACAAAACTGCGGAGCAGTGAGCGACGAGCATGGTGAGCGATTTCACCAGGCCATTGCAACAATGGAGAAACGCTATCAGGGCAAATGGAGCCCATCAATGCTTGCAGACTATTGCTGAACAGTGACAAGAGATGCTCCATTTAATGAATACAAGAGACAAGCCAAGATGTGCCGAGTAGACACTGAATAAGGACTGAACTATGTTCTTCTATTCTTGGTTCTTTCGGTAAAGTCACGTAGAAGGGAAACAATAAAATAATAAAAATCTAAAACAATAAAATTCTCACGACGTTTCGACTGCAACACAATCATCATCAGGTGTGAAAAACACAGCAATACATTTTGAAAAAAGCACCTATAAATGGAGAAGATGGTCGATAGACGCACGTGTTGTTCACGACTAAGGTCACCATATGTCCTGGTTTCCCCAGGATCGTTCTATTTTTGAGGTGGATTTTTTCCATTGCCTATATTCAACACACCACTCAAAACAATGCATGCACATGCAGTTCTCCCCTCTTCTGGTATCGTGGGATATTGTTCCCATGATGTGTCCCAGGTTTTTGTACCTGACAGGTGGCAACCCTGAAAAACACACTTGGACAAATATTCAAATGTTTGCTGCATTGCCCGCTGTCTTGAGGAATCTGTAAGTGTTCCCGGGACATTCAAAAGTCCAGATTTTTTTGTCAGTTTCTTAATAATACACCACTCCAGACCATGCATTTCCATGCAGTTCACCCCCTCTTCCAGTATTGCGAAACATTATTCTTCTCCTCACAATATGTTCCCAGTTTCCTTTGTATCCCAGAGATGGCAACCCTGCCCGTGGCTCGGGTCTGGATGTGTTGTGGCTCTGTCCCACCTGGTGCATTGAGCAGACGTGAGCGCTTGCAGTAGTAGGCGACCTCCTGCTGGCAGTGCTCAGCGGAGCTGATGAGCGCAGTGAGCTGCTCCGCCGACGCGCTGTACGCGAACGCCGCCACGAAGGGCCGCTCCGGACTGGAGCCGCTCACCCACGTCTGCTCCGTGTTGTTATGAACCACCGTCGTCCACACCTTGTCCTCTGCACGCTCGGAAACACCGCGGCATGGCACGAATGGGAAAACGCGCGTGGTCTGTGCGAGCTACGGTGACGCCCGTTTGGTTCTCGGAATACTCGCATGGTGCACGTGGTTTTCCCAGCGTATGCGGAGTTTGAACCTCATTGGAGCGGCACGAACGGGCGGAGGAGGAAGAGGCATCGCGGCGGAAAGACGATAATTAAATTTGAGGTATGCATCTCCATTACAAGCGAGTGGACCCTGGCAATGTCAGAATCCACGTTCATTCACAGAGCCCTGTTTCCTCATCAGAGTCAAAGAATGGAAACAAAAAACAGTGACAGCTAATGGGAATTCTAGATTTGAAGCTTTCGTGATTGCAAGGATTCATATTCTTAGGTTTTTTTCGGTGAAGTCACGTAGGTAAAAAATTAAAATTAATACAAGTAAAATAAAAAATAAAATAAAAATCACGACGTTTCGGAGGCAACACAAGCTAATGGGAATGTTGTCGTGGTAACGTCGAATTCAAAAACCTGCGCTGCAGTTGAAATTCACTCCAATCGTTTTGAACACTGCATAAAGCAAATGGCAATCATAACAATCAATAATGTAGGATCGTTCGTGTCTACAGTGTTGATAATAATTAGTTTTTACTATTAATAGTTAAGGTTACTATAATCAGACCTGGTAGATTTACATTCGGCTTATATAGGCAATCCTGCTTATAAAGATGACGGAGAGATCCACTTCCTGTTTACCTGACCTTGAAATTCCTGCTCAAAGTCCTTTAAAGCTTCCTTTCTTCAAAACACATCTAACTTTTATTTTCAATGATCCCATTGCCTGCATCCACGAAACTCTCCAGTTTATCTAATGAGTTATGAAGCGTACCGTTGGGGAAATAAAAAAAAATTGTGATGAATTCATTGTTGCATTTGTTCATGTATTTCAGTTTCTATCAAGATTATATCGTGATTAAAATTACATTTCATTGAAAGATCGCACACCCTTTGTCAAATATGCCAGTGTTCACGTAAACGTCAACTGTTGTCAGTCGTAGACAAAAGAGAGACCAATAAAACAACGCGATTGAGCTCAGTACGCAAATATGCAGGCTGGCTTAAATGTCAAACAGCCACACCAACGGACCAGCATGCACAAGTGACAGACATTGTATTGACTGTTAAGAAAAGTTAAAGTGGACTTGGGTGGGTCATCGTCGCTACAAGGGCTGATGGCTGGTAGTCAAAGTGATTTTCTGCTCAAGATGAGCATTGATTCAGTGATCATCTCCCATTGACAGCCCTGAGCCAGTAGTTGAAGTTTCGCATTCCTATGATGAGTGGGACTCGAAGCTTGCATAGGACAACCACTGTTGACTTCCCACAAAGTGGTTCCTAATTTTTTATCAACCCTGGAGAATTGATGCATTGAGTCAACCCTAATCCGGGAATTGAACTGGAAACATTCCGATTGCGAGCTGCGAGCTCTACCGTTGAGACACCTGTCTGGTTCGATGAGAATATGAATCTTTATTGAGACTGGAGGAATCCAATGGGCTATGAAGGTCTTTTTTCACAGATGTCCACTATGGGTGGGTCAGCAAGTTACAACAGCAAACAATAGAAGCAAGATCCAGCGAGTCGCTTTTACTTGCAGTCATTACACGCAGATTTTATGCCGATAAAAGTAATCGTGGCTTCCACTTGGGAATGATGTTTCTCTACAGTCTTAGTGCACTTTAAAAGCATGCAGCTTCGTCAGGTGGCCATGAAATGTGCAGCGTACCCCGTGTCTGCAGGCTCAGTCTTCTTCGTAATATAAATTAATTTGAAACACTGTCAAGTTATTCATGGATGTGGTGTCATGATTAGATTTTGTAAAGTGATACAATGTTTCAGGATATTTTGGTGTGTATCTGTTAAGAACGTGTTCATTGATGGTAAAATACAATTATTATAAAGGCTAATGAACCCAATGCACTCAATCAGGGTACCTATGCAAAATAACGTTGTGTTTGTGTTGGTCTAAACAGCAAGGCTGCAACAATATTCTTATTATACATCTTGGGTACTTACAAAAAAAAATCTAATTCACATTTGTTACATCCAAATATAATAATGAACTCACCTTGGTACAAGTTAAAATGACAAATCTATGTACAGGCCAATCAAATCTATCATTAAATATATTTCACATTGTTATTGTCTGTTCAAAAGAAATTGTTATTCCAAGTTGCTATCGAACAACAGGCAAAAATATCACAGCGCCATCAACACATTACTTTTGGGGAGTTAACTGCCACCCCTAGGGCAATGCAGTGCTTTTTCATGGCGCCTGTCACTTTGGAAGTGTAATAAAGCAGTGGGGGTCTGCATGGAGCAGATAAACCGCATGGCACTGAAGTTGCCTTTTACAGCGCGTGACTGCAAAGTCTCCGTTCGGTCAAAAAACAGCTCATGAGACAAATTTCTGTTAAACTGCTTCGTGACATACAGGACAGTACAAATGAGTCACCTTACATTGCATAAAACACGGCGTGGAAAATTTGGAAGCAGTTTGAAATTCAAAAAAAGCAGAAGTACTGTACTTTTTCGACAAATTAATCGCTTTTTTCAATCCAATGCTGGATGAACGCCTCACAATGCCTTGTCGGTTACCGCGGTTGTTTGACCACACTTCACCTGACTGGTCAGTTCGGGTTGCTGAAGGGGGAAAGGCCCACAGATCAATTCAATCAAATTCAGAATGCAGTGTGCTAACCACTGCGCCACCGAGCCCCAATGACGTTATGTGTGTCGTCATCTCGCAACGTCGCAAGTCACGTGCCGGCCGAAAGCGTGCCATTGTTTTGGCTTGAAACATTATGTTATCATTGGCAATTAAATACTTAAAGCGATAAACGTACGTTAGAAAGCATTGTAGAATCCATGCACATATGCAAACGCAACTAATTAATTACATCTACTTTACATTTGCTTGATGATAATTATCAGCGTGCAAAATTTGAATACAATTCATCATTTGCGTATCAAGAACATGTAAAGTAGATACAATTCATGTGTCAACATTTCACCTCTGACATGGCAGCTCTGCAAGTAATAAGTTATGTCCACGTCGCTGATTGACAGCGCGGGTACGGCTACATGCCACATTGAAGATGCAAGATGAGGAAACCCAGTGGTTCCCCAAAACTGACCAAGCAGCCCTCTTTACCAATTTTAGCTGTGACGGTCCCACCTGATGACGGAGACTTGTGTTGCCTCCGAAACGTCGTGATTTGTTATTTTATTTTATTTACATTATTACTTTTATTAACTTTTAATTTTATTTTTTACCTACGTGACTTTACTGAAAATACCTAAGAGTATGAATCCTTGCAGTCACGAAAGCTTCAAATCTAGAAGCCCTCTTTACCGTTAGGGGAGGGGGGGGATTGTGCACTAATTGGTTGCCCTGTAATGCATTTTGCAGGGCTCTGTTTGCGATTTTACAATGTCAAGACAATCCGTCGACTCGAGTCAAACATATCCCACCTTTCAAGACTTTGTGAACAACTACTGTGTGACCTGAGCTGAGCCCAGAATCAGCATTATTTCTCATATGCTGTTGAATGGCATTGGAAATTGCAACATTGTGTAAATATTTCGTTCAAATTAACGGTATATAAAATGGAACGAACACATTTAAGACGACATCCACTGCAGATATGGAGCGATGAAATCAGCGCATGTTCAGACGCTAGGTTGATTATATTATATGGCATGATCGTGAGAGATGGTGGTATATTGGAGAGGGCTTTATCTTGTGGTGAATTTACCACAATTGATGATGATGCTGAAAACTACATTGCAGTCATGCTGCAGTATTTTTACACGTACCTTCTCAGGTGAATATTACAACTAGTTAAATCTACCTCCTAAATGTATGTGTGTTCAATCGCTAATTTTCTGGAGGAAATAATGGATGCCACCATACCCTTGGCTGTTGCTTTATAGTGCTGCCAAAGCCCAGTATGATGCAAGGGATCATGTGCAAGGTTTCCCTGATGTGAAGCCGGTCTGTAAAAAGTATACCCCAATTACTGTAGAGCAATTGTGCTCTTTCAGAGGTCACCACTATTGCGATATCGCATGACCTATGTGCGGGTTTGATGTACAGGGCCAACACTTTGATAAAATCACAACAGCTCTCTATCATGGTGGTGGGAAATTTAAAAAAATGTGTGAGATGGCGGCAAGCCATGAAGACTGAAGAGGCTCATCAAGCCCACTATTGGTTCTCAGTCAGTCATTTTTCTGCGTGTGAAAGCTATCATTTATATTGCTGATGGCAGATGGCTGTGAAATAAATATTTCCGTAAGTGACAAGGGTCAGTGATGAAGTTAATGGTCTTAGGCTGTAGGTATTGAAAACGTAGGGGAAAGGGCATCTGAGGGAAATGCCCCTCTGACAATTGGTGCAGTCAGCAATTGGTTTCACTTGGCTGATCAATTCAACAGCAACATTTCTATTTAGGGAGCACATGTACGCAGCATTAATTGGGAATTTACACGAGCCTAATGACTCTTAGTGGTTGAGACTAACAATAGAGTGACAGCTGAAGGACAAAACACATTCAAGAGGAAGAAGACCACACAAATCAGCTCATGTGCAAGTGCTATATAAATTGTTACACTGAAGGATAGTGAGGGGTAGCGACGGCTTGGAGAGCTCTTAATCCAGTAGTGTATAGAACATGGCTGCTGATGATGATGATTCACCCTCTGGAGAGAATTACAATTGCACCCAGCACACTTCTTCCCTCGACGTCCGCAAACACTAACCTCGTCATGTGAATGACCAGCAGAGAAAACACACCTATTACAAGAAGCCGCATTTTACTCGCTCACCATAAAGAACTTGAAAAGCCTCATAAATGCATTGGAATGTAACAAAAAAACTCGCATAACGGTGTTGCCTTTAACCTGCACTCTCTCTCTTCCGTTCTCTCTCTCTCTCTCTGTGTGTCTGTAGCTTCATTACTAAGAAACAGGGCAGCATTCATTCAGTCAGGACATGTAGCACAGGGGCCTGGGGGCATGTTGCAGGTTCACATCCTCCTTCCCCAGTTCCACGTGAATAAGTATAAGCTGTTGCCAGCACCCACCTGTCATATTGCAGTAGACATGCATGGCCCTCAGAGGGCCACTCCCGTCAGGGTCAACCCAGTAACGGCCTGATGTTCGACCCAGGTGCTTGTAGGCCTCGCACGATGACTCGTAGATGGCTTGTCATTGCAACACAACCAAAAATGGGAAAAAAGTGGTGGCATAGTGGAGAGGAGGGGGGGGGAGACAAGATTTTGAAATGATTTCTGTCTGATGGGTGTTCGGTTTGTATCCCGGATTGTTCAGGATGATGCCCGATATTTCTGTCCGCGTGCTGGACGCTTCAGTTTCACATAGGGCAGTTATGCAGCACAACTGTGAGAAACCTATGCAATAACGTTTTATATTAGATTATTAAACAGAACATGATTTGATGTTGTGTTTTTTAAGCATCTGATTATATCAGCACTGCTAAGTAACGGTGGGGGAGATTTGTAGATCTCTCATCATGGCATGCCCGTAATTGTTCTACGAATCGGCAAAATACATTTTTATGTTAATATAGTGTGGAATTAATTGTCAGACAAATACACAGAGCTGCAATATTAGTATTTTTCATAGGACTTAATTTAACATTGGCTTAATCTTTAGAAAGCTATTTGGGTCTGCATTAGTCCACTGACATAAGTGAAATGTTTTACCACGCTTGAATATACTAAAGTGAAGAGACATTTTCATAAGAAGTATTTTCCATCATTTGAAAAAAAAATTGTATGGAACTGAGACATTGATAAAAGCCCTGAACTAATTAAAGAGAACAAAAACCTAATAACCAAGAAAAAAAGGTTAAACTACTCCTTTGAGGACCATTTTACAGCTATGAGGAGACATCAAATATGTTACACATTCACTGGATTGCTTCTAGGGAGTCATAGTTAAACGCATGTGCTGTGTCATTACCAGTAGTACATAGAATGCAAGTGCTGCTGCTCTCACACGCTTGGCTTATTGACGGACACTGCTGAATGATTAAAACGAAAGTATATTTATTATTATTTACTTTACGTCTATGAGACCGAAATGAGATGAAAAGAAATAAAATAATTTATCTAATGTGCTCAAATTGGTATTCCTCAATAAATAAAATCGTAAAGCATTCCACTCTTAAATTAAATTGCCAGAGCGTATTGTGCAAGCAAATAACTTTTTAATGAGGAGGAAAACTAAATCATGAAATAAGTCAAGCCTTTTTGGCAATGTGCATTTTAAGATAGATTTTTAGAGTGGCAGAGTTTCAGCTATGTCCTCCTTCAATTTCATGAGAATTAACAATATCTCGGATAGACTGCATTTGCAATGTAAATAATGTTAAAGCTGCATGTACTATTTATCTACATTGCAAGTAACATTTATCCCCTCTCCCATCCCCCCAATAAAAATATTCAAAACATTTAAAAATATACTTTATCATTAGCAGTAACATTGTAGTATCGTACGCCAAAAAACAAAATTAGCATTCATTGTTTTAGGCAGCAGTTCCGCATAAGCTAATTTATGCAACAGTTACGCAATATTTTTTCCCGTAAAATATTATTGTCTATTATTTGTGCTTGGTGGCACTTTTGTACATTTAGACTGTCGGCATAAATATTTTGTCAGCCGCAGTTGAAACTCTGCCTTATTTAGCGCAGCCTTGCCCTTGAGGCAGAGATCCCCAGCTGTGTAGTTTTCACACTTCATCAACGGAGACACGGCCGGGTCTAATGCCGTTATCATTTTTGCCCCCCTTTTTACCAGCACCCTTAAGACCGTGAGTCCAGGCCTCGTATATCCTTTGTGAGAGCCTCGCAGTGGGTGGGGCGATGGCAACGATACCTCATAAGAGCCGAGATGTAATTCTACAACGTGAATTGAGGTCATGACCTGCTCAGACGTCAGAATTTTGTGCAAGATCAACCGGTGGGGGGGGGGGGGGTCACGTCTGCAGATTGGATACTTGTAACTCATCAGGAAGCTTTGCCAGAGATTCTGTCAGGGGCCTCAATGTTGGCCACAAAGTAATGAAAACATTATGACTGCACCCTACCATTCAACGCGTTGTACCCCTTGAGGTAGGTTGGGCTTTAATTTGCTTACGTGAACTGTGGACAACTATAAATAAAATAAAATAAATGTGTGCGACACACCAACAGTTGACAGCAAGACGTGTCTGCTCCAACTGTGGGAAAGACACACTACTGCGTTAATCAGCCATTTCCTTCCGGCAGATGAAGAGTTAATTTATTTAACAAATCGTTTGCTCAGCGTTAATTTCCTGTGAAAACTGTATTTTCGTCCACATTGATTGTGTGTGGGGGGGGGGGGGGTAGCTTTATCGTGCTCCCAGTGTCCTGCACTGAGATTCAACACAGAAACGTGAGCGGTAATTTTCTCCAAATCAATGGCTTTCCTTAATCAAAAGCAGATGAGTTGAATGCTCCTGTGCCTTTATGTGCCTTGGCTTTTGTGAGCCTTTTACAGCAATAATGATTCAGAGCACGCGAGTGGGGAAAAAAAGATGTTGGTGTAATTTAATTAAAGCTGAGGAATAATAAATAAACTTGATATGCATGCCTATTATCATGTACACATTTTAGGTGAATATAAAAATTAACCTTCAAAAATAAGTGCCTACTTAAGAACCATGTTTAACAAAGGGTAGTACAAAAATTAAAATGTTTTAGTCATCATTCAAACTATAAACATAATATGGTTGATATTTAGAAAAAAATACGCGTTATTTTTGCCCAGTGGCTGATCTATATATGCAATAAACAGTTCATTGATATATTTTATGCAATTTGTAAACATATATACCAATCCCATAAAAATTATCCCATATGGCTTATTTTGAAAACGCTTACAGACATTTTACCACTGCTATATACGAAAAAAACCTGAATTAATTCATTAAAACTTTTAACAACATTTGCTGACACCTCTAGATGCCTTACATGATGATTCTCATTAATAATTAATGTATCGTGACATTCCGGTGTTACCAATTAAATTGAAAAAGCGGGACAAAGATTGGAAATGTAAAGGAAAAACGTGCCCTTAGCATCGGACACTTTTTTTTCTCAATAAGGTTGAGAGGTGAACGATCAATCGGCAACGGGCCCTTCTTACCTGCGACAGGCGGGGCCCGCAGCTCGGCAACGCGATTGAACAGCGAGGCGGCACTCCCCAACATGATGAGACCCACGAATAGAACGTGCGGCGCCGCTCATTAAACGTGGCACACGCCTGGAGCCCGCTCGCCCGGGGGGGGGGGGGGGGGTGCGAATTTGCAACGGCGAGAAACAAAGAGAGGAAAGAGAGGAAAGAAAGGCTTTGCAGCTCACGTGTGTGGCAGGTGACGCCCGTGTAGCCCGTGCCTGCGCAGCTGCACGTGAAGCTGCGCCAGGTCTGCGAGCAGGTCCCGCCGTTCTCGCAGTGGCTCGGCAGACACCTGCAAACGAGACGCCAGCGGCCAAAAGAAAAGCGTTCAAACGTCAACCTCCGATTGTCCGATCGTGGCACGGTTGGACTACGTACGGTGAATAAAGAAGTTCAACGTACACACGGCACGGGCAGCAGCGTGATTTCATTGCTACCGATTTCCTCCATGAAATGTGAAGTGTCACACTAGGTTGTTTTAGTGAGCCATGTATTTGGGCAAGACAGTTGAAACAATGGGGCAAGTTTCTTCAATTGCTCCCCCCCCCTCCCACCCCGCCTCTGTGCACCCTACAATATAAATGGATTCGCCACAGCAAGTAGATCAGCAGGTGGCATGTGGTGGGGTAAAGTGTCGGTATTCACATCTCTTCGAAGACGTCTAGCCTGTGTGCAAGCGAAGGCCAAGTATCCATATTAAGGTTCATACCCCTCGCCAAACCTCCTACGCATTTCACAAGTAGTACTAATCGCATATCTGCATTTCCCATAAATATGCGAAATTCCTCTTGATATGCAAATTCTTTTGTCAAGGCGCTCTCTCCACCCCTCCAACCCAGCTTAAAAAGGACGCTCCAAGCCTGGGGTTGTCATTCAGACTGTCTTCTCGACAGACCTGTTCTTCACCTGAGGACGGCTGCTTGCGTTGTGGCCGAAACGTCGTGAGAATTATTTTATTATGTTTTATTTTTATTATTTTATTATTTCCATTCCACGTGACTTTACCGAAAGAACCAAGAAGATGAATCCCTGCAGTCACGAAAGAAGCTTTCAATCGAAATTGAAGGTTCATAGAGCTCCGCCTAATAGAGGCCCTCCCTCTTCTGCCTGCAGTGAAGTGAGCAAGACATCAAAGAGCTGCGCCTTCAACGTTTATCTTCTCCTTTTGGATAGTATGCAGTGAAAAACAGAGCACTTGCATGGCATACATATTGTTGGGTATTGAACTTTAGTATGCATTACTCCTATAGCTATATTGCATATGTTTTTTGCATTTTAAGCAACATTCCTGCAATGGTATAAGCTTCATACAGCGCTTCATACAGCGCTGCGTACACTGACTTATTTAAATATATACTGTGCGTGTTCACACCTTGTGCACCTCTGTTGAACAATACGCGTAGATCAATTTTATTGCACGTCAATTGGATTTTAGTACCTGTTATATCAGCAGCAAGGCAGCTGGTCCGGGGCTGCCGTTAAGACGGTGCAAGACTGTCACCGCTCACCAGTGCCTACTGTAAGTAGCCATTATCCAATTAATGTTGTCATTCAGAGAGCAACGCCACTTTTTTGCTCGCAACCACACATCCACAAAACAGACAGCTCCATTAATATGGCTTGGCACCGCCCGGAGCGACGTAGTTATTTTTGGTCCGATGGTTTTTTCCTATTTTAGATCTAGTTGTAGGATTTTCCAGCACTGTTGCTGGAACAATCCGACCGCTCACCCACCACGCTCATGCCTTCCAATTATATTCGAGCAGACAAACAGAAGGTGAGACCGGTGATGGGTTTATGGATTTACGTTGTCGTTTACAAAAAAAAGAACATAGTTGCCCGTCTGCCGAAAGGTTATAAATATCTTCAGCAGACACAGGCTCAGCATAGTTCCTTACGATTCCCTTGGGCCTGTGTGGTTACAACAATCTACAATGCCCCTTTCATAAAATCATGTAGCTCAAAGCCATGCTTTCTATTTTCTATAAAACTGCCAGCCTTTCGCATGCCACAGGAGGGAATGCGTCGATGGATTTCACTTGGGTGTTTGCAGTGGACCTCACCATGTACTCTGCACCAGCGGTATGTGATGACAAAATAACTCCCATTCCCTCGAACGTGAATTATGTTTTGCTGTTTGACCTGTTTCAGGTCGTCGTCGTCATAACTTTACACCCAGGGGTGGGTGCTGCTCGTTTCGCATAGGCTCTACAGTAAGCCGTGCCGAAGGTTTCCAGCTGTCATGGTTTTCCCAGAATCGTCTTTTTGAGGTCGCTGTCCTGGGAAATCTTGCCGGAACATTAAAAGTCCGAGTTTTTGCCAGTTGTGTAATAATACACCACTCACGACAACGTGTTTAGAAGTAGTAAATACATTTCCCCCCCCCCCCCCTATTCTGGGGATGCTCTTGTTATTCATACTCTTAGGTTTTTTTTCGGTAAAGTCACGTAGGTAAAATATTAATAATAAAAATGAATAAGAAAAATGTATATGCTCTTCTTGAGCATATGCTCTTCTTGTCAGTTTGTTGCACCTCCGAGGTGGCAACCCTTGCTGTTGCCTCACCTGTCCGTGAGGCCACACTGGTCGAGCATGAGGTTTGTGTAGTTTCCCAGGAGGCCTTGCTGCAGGAGGGAGAGGTCCACCAAGTGATCATCAATATTGATGAGCCTCATGCAGCCCAGGAATGGGGGAAGCGACCTGTTCGCATCTCTCTGAGGAAAGCCTTGGGAGAGACAACAAAATGGCATTCATTTTATTCAAATGACTCACATCGATATATTAAAATAACAAACTCAATATATTCTATTCATGTCTGATGATTTTTTTTGTCTTATTTTTTTATTCATGTAAAGCTTTTTTGCTTAAGAAAAAATGTATTTCTCTTGAAAGTGCTTATTTTGGACACATTTAAGCAATATGAAAAGTAATGCATTGATAGTGTACAGCCAACCAATCCTTCCAACTTGCTTTAGTTGTTAACACGGTAAATAAAATACACAGCAATGAAGATACCACAAAGGCATTCTGACGTTATGTGTCTCGCTCCTCCATGCTTTAATTAAAAGCAAGCATAGCTCAGCACGGCTGCCTTAGACCCAGAAGTGCTATTACACGGTGGCAGTGTGCAGCACCCTGCCACTCACACTGCGGTTGCTCAGAGCTGCCATGCGTTTTGAGTTCATGGCTTTTTTCAAAGACTTAATATTCATCCAGAAAGCAGCGCATGAGTACGTTTGGACAGACTTCATAGCAGAGCTCTCACAGGTCCTATAAGTGGGTGTGTGTGTGTATCGGCCCAGGCTTCATTATCGTAATCATCCTTTCATATTTTGAACGCACTTAGTATGCCGTTACATCTTGAAGCACGTACGAGGTGTTTTAACAAATCAACCAAATGCACACGCACATCTGTAAGTGCAATAACAATCAATTACTGTAAAAAAGAAACATGCATATAATGACCGTACTATATAACAAAATAAACATTATCTTTTTCCTCGTAAAATGCACGTGAGCCATTGTTTATAGCTAATTAGATTTTTTATAAAGTAAGCCTCGAGTCTGCACTTAAATTAATCTAACCTCGTCAATGTAGTAATATGGTCAGACCGTTCCGTAAATTCAGCGCCACAAGAGTAAAAACACACCACACAATTATAATGTTGATGCGAGGTACCTGAGGAACGTATTGCCTATAACTGGACCTGACAGTGTATGCAGGAATAAGTAACTGCAACAAGGTAGACACATATGACGATCCCTTATCGTGCAGGAACTTGAATGCAGTTCAATTCTCCTTTGTTTGATCATTTTAACCAGGCGAAAGACGCACGATACATTTTCTTCTTTTGCAAAGGCGGCCTGGCGCTACGCCGCGATAACCGGTGCCTTAAAAAATCACGACGGCGGGCCATGCAGGAGGAGTCGGCGACCTCCCGAGGTCACCACCTCCGAAGTAGTAGATGCTGCCGGTGGCGACGTGGAAGGGCAGCAGGGAGCGTACGGCCATGTCCTCGGCGCCGTCCACGACGAGAGAAAGCGTGCGCTCCCGCGCCTGCACACTCGCCGTGTGCCACTCGCCGTTGTTCAGCAGCACGCCTTGAGCGCGCGTGGGCACGGGCATGAAGGGGAAGGGGTGGGGGGGGGTCAACGAAAGTGAAGGAAACACATATTTCTGAAGATATTTCCATAAAAGGGCACGGTGCCATATATATATAGGTGGCCACCACAGAGATGGAGCGATGAGATCAGCTCATGTGCAGGAAGGATTGTTGGGATTTAGAGACCCTGAGAGATGACGGATGGGTAGCAGAACGTTTCATCCAGCGGTGGATAGATCATGGCCATGAGTTTTTTTTGTAATTGTATTCTACGTTTAAACTAACGTATTGAACAGTGTGTATACATGGAATTCTGTGTGTTATGTACATGTGCATACCATATATAAACATCCGCCTTGTGTATGTTGCACCGCATACATCATCGTAATAAGGAGTATGAAAATTAAGTTACCACCCGAACGTGCTTCAACAGTCGACCTATTTCATAAAAAAAATTCTTTTGAACTTCACTTTAATTGAAAGACAATGTTTCACGCCCAGAGAATCACAGGGGGTAATTTAAACACGCGTCCTAATCAGTATCAACTTCTTCTATCTCGCTTTGAAAGCGGCACCACACGCGCATAAAAATAAAAAAAAGATCTTTGTTAACCTAGTAGCACTTATTCATTTAAAGACGTACACGCGCTCTTAATAGTGATAATATATTTTATAGCCCATTTTATAACTATACATGAATATCGTTATGGCCAGCATACAGTATTTCAAACGAATGGAGGCTATGTGCCTGATTTTATATACTGGACACCATTATCAAATCACTTGATAACAATGTAGATGGTTTTTTTTCTTTTGAGATAATGCAAAGCATCTCCATATATTTCTTTTTTAAACAACATTTGACGTTACTTTTGTTTGCTCAGCATTAGAAACACAATATCATCTTGATGGGGTGTTCACGTGTACAACTATGTGTACCGTATTGCAGTACATGTTCTGAATTGCACATTCCACATGGATGCAAATGCATTTTAATGTTGTGATAAAAGTCCATTTATGTATGTGCCTGTCGCAGCAACAATACCGCATCGCGTTTTTTTGCCCCTGAATGTGCAGCAGCGATATTATCTGCGCCGGTGATGTGGCCCTGTTTTGTGCTGATGTAGAATAACAAAGAGCTTTGTGTATTCTTTCGCAACGAGGTTTCTAATGACATTACTTTAATTGACTGCCCTTAATCTGTAATCACGTGCGAGTCTACTGCCGCTCTGGAAATTAATCAATAAACAAAATTGACTTGCCCGACAAAATCTACTGCTTACTACTCTTTTTTTGAGTTGTTAATTGAACTCAAGGTAGCCACATATATACATTGGTGACACAAACAATCAGGCACCCTGGCTATTGATAAAACCATTATTTTGGGAGGTCGAAACTTTTGCAATTTTTATTTGTGGTGCTGTGATTGTATTTTGGAGGCAGGGTATTTGCACGCAAATATAGTTTATGTACATGTGGATATATGTGTGTGTTGGGAGGAGCTCGCAAACATCACTTGTTCAAACGGTCGGTACACGCCATACCAGATGTCTTTTGTGTGGGGAGTGGAAGTGGAGCGGTGAGCACAGTGCGCTATGAACCCGGCCACCTGAGTTCGAATGCCGGTAACAGCCAAAACCATTGGTCCTGGGCCTCCCCAAGGTTGACTTTGACTCAAATGAGTAGCTGCTGTGGTGTGTAAACATCACCACAAGAGAGACAAAGGCAGCCAAGCCAGTGCTAGCCACCCACCCCCTCGTGTGCCGTACCCGCCTGAATGGGTGCTCGCGAAAAGCATTTGCCCCAGCAATCCGTATGGCTATCTGGGGGGTGGTCTTTATGTCTCATTGTGCAAGCACGTGTGGATGAGCAGCACAGTGTATGTATGTCCATCCACCCTGATGGGCCCAAGTGACCGCAACGAGGCCCCGTTCAATGATGGATCGATGTGGTACGCGTGCCATGCTGTGCGGCGCTCGCCGCATGCTGAGCCACGCTCTGGCGTCTCCTCCTCCGCAAACCACGACGGCGGGGGATTGCCTGATGGGTGACCACGCCGGCAAACAGCCACCATGGCGCAGCAAAATCGTACACAAGCCCCCCCCCCCCACGCCCTCTCCACCCCCACTAAACTCCCATCGCCACTTTTTTCCCCCAAAACCCCCCGCTGCTCAATGCTGCCGCTGCTGCAGTCCCTAACACCGCTCGTGCAAAGCGCACGACCCACGCAGTGCGCACGTCTGTGCGGCTGGTTTCACGGTAGTGAGGGCATAAATAATTTATCGGTGCTGCATTGAGGGATGCTGGGTGGATGGGTGGGTGGTGGTGGTGTGCTGGTGGTGGTGGATGGAAGGTGAGCCAGCGGGGGTCTCCTGGGCCTCACGCACGAGCGGTTTTGCATTAGCCTTATAACAGAAAAGTGTTACACAGGAACCATGAGCACGCACTTAATGGGAACATGTGACTTAATGAGAAACCGCTTGCATCAACAACTAGAAGGTTGCCTTATTTCACTTGCATGTCCTTTTTTACGTGACGTCAAAATGAGCCGACTAAAAAGTTAAAACAAAAAACGCTAATGTTCGCTTAACACCTAATGGTGATGTTTTAAAATGTTCTCCTGAATCGGTATAAAATAAATATATCACAAATATTTGTCAGTGATAATAATTACATGAATATAATTGTTCTCAAGATCGAGTATTACCTTCTCACTTTCAAGCATTCCATTACGGTTCTAATTGTAGCTCTGATTTGTGGAGAAGGGTTCCTCACGGGAGGCATTAGCGATGGGTGAGGAGTGCACCTGTGCAGGCCTTCTGGAGAGGGACTGGAATTTGATCAGCATCGCAGTGGAATCGTACACTACTTGTATGAGCAGTCGGGGCAATTTGCATATTGATACTAGGGCCATTCAAGAGTAAAGTTGGCTTGAACATTTTCCATTGCATATAATTGGCAACAACAATACAATTCCACTGAATAGGATGTTTAAAAAAACATGGTTTTGACGGGCTCTCAATGTAACATGAAAATTATCCCGGTTTGCTGCTCTGCACCTCATAAACAAAGCTCTCTGCATAACGCTCCATGTACTCACTCGGACAGCTTTCACGGGCATCACGGACGGCTTACCGGAAGACAGATGGATGTCGCTGCTACCGGGGCGAATGAGAGCCAGGTTCAGTTTTCCTTCCCTCAAAGTGAGACGCAGCTCCCCCAGGCCCCGTGACAGGGCGGTGAGCAGGAGGAGGCCCGTGGGGTCCCACGTACGGAACTCCATCGCGACAGCCAGCGCGGCGCGCCCCACACGGCCCGTCAGGGCGAGGTGGCCATCCGGCCCGGGGAAGGTGACGGGGATCGCGGGGACGCCGCGTGGACACCCAAACGTCACGTTGCCCTGGCGAGCGCCCCAGGACAAAGGAGATATGTTGGTCAGATAATTTAAATATTTATTTTATTTTACATTAAATGTAGCTATCTCTGGCGTAAATGCTTGAAGAGAGAATTGTATCGATAGACTTAGGGGGTAGTCTTGCCCCGTATCGTCTAACATTACATGTATTGTGCAATGTATTATTTTTCGCAACGATTAAATGATCGTGTACTGGCAACATAAAATGATAAGCAAAGAGGGAATTAGTACTGTGCGGTTAATATTTTCTGACTTGTAATTACCCAATTATTTCACTAACAAGATGAAGGGGGATGCTGCCGTGGTGTCATGGTCAGCACTCTGGATTTGCATTCTTGGGGTCGCCGGTTCGATCTCCCAGGACGAAAGTTAAAACGATGGACAAGTTTTATTAAGCGTCCCGCCTCTGTCCACCCAGCAGTCGAAATGGGTGCACCACAGCCAATGGGCAGGTCGTTTGTGGTGGGGTAAAGTGTGGAAAATCCCACCTCTTTTAAGATATCTGGCCAGGGTATGCAAAATATCTTCCAGAGTGGCTTTTTAGAACTCTCTAGAGTGGTGTGAGCTAGAAATCGCAGGGTTACATGCTTACTTTTACCTATTTTACATTATACATAAAGTCAATATATTTCCAAGGATAATTTTGGTCACACCAATTTTAAACATAATTACAGTCGTCAGTATACATGAGCAGAATATATTCCGAGGCATGCCTCACCACACTCTATCTCCTCCCTATCACCGAGCCCTTAATTTCCAGGACCGTTTTCATATCCGTGTCCTTCCCGTAAAGCACCCCAACTCACAGACATGTGGATCTGAGGCTTGACCCGCTGGGCGAGGTCTGTCACATACTCTCCGCTGTAGTACACATTCTCCAGGCAACCCAGGAAGTTGGGCCGCCCCATACTTCCCGCCTTGCCTCCAAACGGGAGCCCACCAAACATGAGCTGAGAAAACAAAAATACGAGAGAAACAGTAGTCATCACCATCATCAACCATGATCAAACCCACTGCTGGATGAAGGTCACTCCAAGCTGTCACCGTCTCTCATGGATTTGTAATGCATCATAAATCTGCTACACATCATCTCATTTCATTGCTCCATCTCCTTAGTAGGCATGCTTTTGGGCGATTTCTCTTGTTTGGCTGTCACACTGTCGTTAGTCTCGACCACCAGACACCGTCCCTTCTAGCGACGTGTCCTTTCACAATCCCATTTATTTTCTTAAGAGTCAATGTGATATCTTTACCTTCAATTTTCTAATTGATATATTCCCACCCCACACCAGGCATGATCAGTGTTTGACCACCGTACTGTATCACGATGGTCAGGCTGATTCAGATATCTCTTGCTACTGATGTGAGACGAGGCTGGGAATCAAAATAATTTCAGTCAGAAAATTAAAATCCCATAAGCCACAGCTAGCATCAGTGGTGAGTGATATCTGAACTTTACATTACCGTACTGTAATTCATTCCATTAATTTTTCTTTCACTTATCATTTAATAAATCCACTTACTTTAACTGTCTTTTTACAAGCACGTCAAGTGACCACTTAAATATAATAGGGGACATTTAATTTAGAATGAGGCTCAACAGGCTTCGTATTGAACTGTTGGGATTTTGTGAAGTCACCAAGGTCAGCTAGGTTTCCTGCAAACAACAAATAAATGCCAATGAAGCCACAAAAATTCAGTCAATAACAGCCTTGACCGACTGTCTGACCCCTACTCGGTTCCACTGACCAGTCCTGTGAAAGTTAAGGCCTTGTCCTTTCAACCTTTCACTGTGGCCACTTAACCTGGTGACATTTGCCAATGCCTTTCTATTCATGCAGTACTTGTAGATGCAATCTGGTTCCAGTGCTGAAGCAAAAATTGTATTTTGTTTTTCAATAAACCATGAGATAAAATGTCAAACAAAAATAACGAGAATACTGTATAAGAAGTCTTCCAACAATGCCAAATTAACAGTGATAACGAAAAAAACTAGCTGATTACACCAGGTCTTATAAGATGAATGAACAGTTTTTGACATTATTTATATAAATTACCTTGCCATGCATTCCCATGGTGAAAATTTTAGTTGTATTTGAAGCATTCACAAACTAATATCTTGAAACAACAGTGTTACATTTTCACGTTATTCTTCTTTATTTTTAGTACACCCAGTTCAACTCCTGCCACGAGAGTTCAACAGTAGGAGTTGAACTCTGGAAATCGCCTGACGATGCTGAATGTAATAACTAGCGAAACGTCCTTCCTAATTGCTCGATGTTGTGAATCGCTTCTTCAGCACAGCGGTGTGTGCCGAAGCAATAAGCATAGTGGGTGTGTTCGTCAAGGCCATAGCCATGGAGTCAACATTGGGGGGGACCAAATCTTCCAGGGGGTCTGGGGGTGTCCCCCTAGAAAAAAAAAATCTAAATTTGAAAACTCATTTCCTGCCTAAAATATTTTTAAAAAATCACTAACACATAGGATGGACTTTTTATTTATTTTTTACAATAGTGTCTAATAGTGTATATTGTATTATATTGCTCTGTTTTTTCGTTTTTACCTTTTCTTGTTTCATTATATGTAATGGCAGAGATGAGGGATTAATAAAGTACAACCATAACCACAATCATATAAACAGAAATATATTTTATAGCAATATATTGGGGGGAGGGGGACATTTTGAGCATATTTGAATATTGGGGGGGGGGGGATGTGTCCCCCCCCCCCAATATATATAATAATTACGGCCTTGGTGTTCGTTTGACCACGTTACAGCTCTATTAATTCGGCTGTGTCGCGTGGAAGAGGGTACGATATGCGTTGGAATATTTCTCACGTGGCGATCTGACCTAAAAAAAATCAACTGTGAATCGTAACGTTGATCACGAAAGCCTACGCGTTCAAACACGTGTGAGTGTCAGTCGCCAGGGGCAGTGGAGCCAGTAGACCCGAGTAGTGGAGGGCATCGCACGGCAGGGTGAGAAATTCGCAAAACGATCACATCCTTGGCACATAACCCACACAGCCACGGAGGCACCTCCAGCAGCACTGTGCCCAGCGCGATAAACCAATTACGCATCCTCTCAACCCAAACCAAATGTTCTTGCCAGCGTTTCTTTTCACAGTAATTTAGTATAATTACGTGACTTAAGTTACAATAAATTATCAACATAACCTCTGTGTGGCCGAGGAGACTTGAAAGCAAATCTGTTTCGGAGTAAAAAAAAAAAGGTTGGCAGCAAAATATTTTCAAACTAAACTAATAAGCATATAAAAATAATACAAAAAAAATCCGTATGTGTGTAATATGATGATTTAATTGGTATAAGTCTACAATGTGCTTGCATGTGGTGGTTAGTTGCAGAGTCTGAGCTAAGCAGGATATCAGTATCCTGCCTGAGGAGCTCAGTTCCATCTAATTATTATTCTTTATTGGTAATGTGGCAGAGCTGAACTATGACCCCAGTAAGGCAGCCTTTGAAATCCTAACTGGTGGAGTTACTATTGAACTCTCTTAGATTTTGACCACAGCATTAGTTTTCTGAAACAAAACAACCATCTGCTTTAATTAAGATTAACGGAAGTCCTTTGTAAGTTTGCAATTTATTTTAAACTACTTCAAAGCCATATGTTGGGCTTTTGTGCACTCGTCGATATATTGTGTGCACTAAGCTCGCCCTTCCAACAAGTTTTTTTTTTCAATTAGCCGTACCCTTATGTTGCGTTCAATAGCGGCGCTTTAATGATTTTCATTACTGGATGTGATTGCGTTAATGTAGAGCAGCAACAGACAGGGTTGAGGGCTGCAGCGGAGTTGTCTTCTCAAATTGTGCGCATGTCAAGCCTATTGCAGGCCTTCCATGTACGAAGAGTGGTATCCTTATGGGAAACCAAATGTACTCATTCAATTAGCGTATAATTTCATATTGCTCAGTGGCGCCGCACGCATGTCTCCCCTGCACGGTGTTTCAGAAGCCTCGCAAGTCAACAGGGAGGGATGGTGGCGAGAGCACGTGTGAAGGAGAGTACATGACAGTGACAGGGGAGTGGAGCAGAAGTTGTCAGGCAATGTGTTAGACAACACCCTTCTTGCTAATAGGCTCCTGTTAATCAAGTAAAACTAAGAGAAGCAAAAGCATAAATCTCTGCAGGGACAACATTATGAATGATGTATCATATCGGCACGATCACATTTATGTAATTCCGGGATTTATTTAATAAATCCTCCATCATGGCAGATATGGGTTACACTCACAATTGAATGTGCTCAAATCCATCTTAATATTTACATCATGGGTTGGAAATCATTTCATAAACATTGAAATTATTCCTTGTAGCAGAAACTTACCAGTACAAGTGTATTTCAGGATTATGTCAATTAATAATGCAAACAATAATATATGATTTGTGTTCGATTCCTAAAAAACCATGTATACGCAGCATATATAGGATAGTCTTCATTGTTAAACATTGTACTGTGAAATTTACTTTAAAGAAATGAGGAATATCAAGAAATTGTACAAGTTACTTCTGTTATTGAATGGTCAAAATGACTGGCATGTTGTGGTTTTGGCACACATTTTATGAGGTCGGGGAAATGGTAAAGGAACATGATAATAAACAAGATTATTGCATTTTAAACAAATTGTCTGTAATCATATTCAAAACAATTGCATGCAATAACGACATGTAATTCAATGAAAATGTAAACACAAGTACCCATTCATACACCCATGCTCTCACTCACATGGACTAAGCCCAGATTTCACCCCGAATCCCACCCTGGTCTTCAATCAATATCATCCGCGCGAAAGGACAAAATGAAAACTAGAGCGAGTGATCGGCAAAGTCGTCTGCTTGTGTTACGGTTGAGTCGGACTGTGCGTCACCAGCTGAGCGGCTGCTGCCAATGTGGACCAACGAACATCGATCTGTCTTTTCTCAGACACGGGGTCATGCCCCTGCAAGAGGTGCCAATGTTACCGTATCAGTTGCCTTACATTAAATAAAAATGACACGGCACCGTGCTTTCTGGGTATCAGCAGAATGCACGGAAAGGCACAGTAGTCATTCAATTGGGTATATTGTATATGCATAAATGAGATTAGCTTTCTGAAGCAAATATAAAAAAATACAAATACACCATGCACACAAAAAATGTTAATGCTTCAATACCCATAACTTTAAATGAGACCCGAATACTCATTAAAAAAAGCATGCAATGCTAACAAATTATAGTCTGCCAAACATATAACCAAATGAAGTATTTGACATCAGCAAACACAAACTTTAAATTTTACTTTGCTTGCAATAGCCCTTCATCCTATGTTAAATATACTTTTTTTCCTGTGTTTCTAAAATTACCAGCCTTTAACTCCATATAAGCTACAGGCATTTCACTTAGACTCGGAGTCAGTGTGCAGTGGTTCACTTTACAACAAAAATCGGGCAAATTCCTATCAGTAAAGGAGACGTGCTTATGTGGCTGCCTCAGGTGTAGCTTGTTATTAAGTTATGGCTCATTTCCTTCCCTTGCAATGTATCTACAATGACTGTATCAATCTTAGAAGACGGCGTTAATAACATACAAATTAAATGATATATAATCTTCAATATATATAATCCTCTCAATTAAGAACAACAAATCATTCCATGACCAATTCAGTCACAGCCTCTATACAGCATCCAGGTTCAATGTGTTTTTTAAGTATCCGTTTAAAGAAAAATCAGCAATTGAAGAACACACATTTATCATCAATATACAGCTTCTAATTTACCCTTTAGTTAGGCATTAATCAGAATATTATTGACAAATGTGTGCATAATCCATCGGGTCGGTTCTCAGAGACATCCGCATTTTCGCGAAAGGTCAACGCACCTGGTAGTCGAGGTCGAGAGAATCATCCTCTCCCTTCACGTGGAAGCGCTCTGTGTGGCGGTCCACCGTCAGGTTGCCATGGCGACCGCTACGGACAAGCAACACGTCGTGCCAATGCTGGTCGTCGAGCAGGCTGCCAGCGCTTGCAGAAGTATGCACCACCTCGCCAGGGCCACCCCCACCGGCAGGTCCCGTCGGCTCCTGACCTGTTTCACACCACGACCGATGCCATCGCCACGGAAGAACGAACAGGAGATTGCTATTTATGATTATCTGTGGCTCAGCACTCAAGAGTTCTCAGTGTGTACGGACTGATATCTAAAAGCGGGTCCTCAACCTTTCTGATGGCGGGCGAGAAGTCTAAAGCCTCTTACTTGAAATACAGCTTCAGAACTTAAGAGCAGCATCAGAGAACAGTGACCCCTCGTTGAGGGAGGCTTTGACAGGAGGCCTTGTTTGATGGATTAGAGGGCACGTGGTGGATAGTAGGGTCAAGTAATGGGGAAGGTAAGAATTTGATGGCACAAATTCAGCCAGAAAAAAAGTTATGGTGATGATTTGTTTTAAGGCATGTACAAGTGCAAGAATACGAAACAATTCGCTGCACACTACAGAGGCCATCATCTTGGACCTCCCGGCATCAGTCTTCACCTTATCCATTACTTCCTCCTCCATCACATATAATTGGCAGGTGAACAGGGAATTCTTTGGAGGTGCTAACAAGTTGATGTGGGTGTCCCCTTCAGTATCAGGAATATTGTTCTCAGATATGTAAAATTATGAGAGGGTGCGAGTCTGTAGGTGATATTGAGGATTATTTTAAGCTTTCCTGACTCCTCACATCATCTTGAATGCAAGAAATGCAGACGGTGTGAAGGGGAAGGTAAGGGTAGCGGTTTAACTAAGGCAACTCCAAAATATATCTTGGGGCTCTTCAATTAAAATGTTGTGAGGGGCACCTTGGTGGACTATTGCTTGAGTGAGACTTTCAATTTCAGTTCTTATTTTTTTGTAATAAACTGAACAAAAAACAATTATTCTATGACTTCTGAATGCATTACAGCACTGCTCAACAGCAAGAGCTGATGATTCAACTCGTCTAACATATAAAAAAAAGAACAGTTGCTCAGCACAGGTTCAAAGGCCCAAAGTGCCAAGCGACCAGGAACAAACATCAACAAGCATTAATCCACATCGACCCTACAAGTTTAAAATGAGTCCATCCGATTAACAACGGTGCCAATTTCGAGGAAGCCTCAGCCTTAGGCCATCCTGATTTGGTGTGGATGGGGTTGGGAACGAATCGGGGGGGGGGGGGGGGGGCTAGGCGATTAGGATCGGAGACTCCACCAAGGCTGATGAGCAGGTGCAGACATCCACGTTGGAGCTCCAGGGTGAGGGTGTCTCCCCGCTGGCCCTCCCCGTGTAGCAGCACACCCTCGCCGAGCGCAGAGCGGAACCGCAGCGACACCACGTCTTTGCGCGTCCGCCTCGTTTTTTGCTCGAAGCGGTACGCCAGTAGGCTCCGTCCGTCGAAGAACACGGCCTCCGACTCTGGGCACGGTGGTCGGTGGTGTGGCAATACCGGCAGAGGCGTCAAGGCCACTTCCTCACGATTGACGCGACCAAAAGTGTCGGTCTCGCCGGTACCGTAATTCAAAATAATGGCACTCGGAAAAATCCTGACACGCACTTTGCACAATGATTGCACGTCGATATCGGGGCAGGAATGCGCCAGAGTGTGGCCTTTCATGAATAGCCTGTGCCACCATTAAACAGCAAATGCGCTATCGTGCATGAAGCCCTTAAACCATAACCTCTAACCCAGTCGGAAATGTTCAATGATTTATCAGTGGGCCAGTATTTTGTGTTAATGGGCAGATATGTCGAGTTTTCACTTAGTATATTTACATTTTAACTTTTTTGAGATTCAGCATACATTTGATAATTTAAAAAATGATGTTATACTGCACACTGAATATCAGAATATATGTTTTCCTTCTAAATGTGATATGTTGGTTACAATAATTTGCTTAAATGGCAATTTGGATTTATAGAGCATATAAATGCAATTGAATGAAGACACTCTAAAATAACTTGTGCGTGCAATAAAACTCACTGTTAAATTTAAATGTGCTATGGCCATGAATGCGATTATATTTTGATGGAGATATTGGAAGTAATTATATACTCGTAGAGGTGTAGGGGAAATCGGGGAAGTGACCCATAATATAATGTAATTATTTGGTTATTTCAGCTTGAGAGAGTTAGTTTATTTTGTAAGGCAATTTGTCTATTGTATTTGAAATGGATTACCAGTTTACACAACCTCTACTTAACGTGTCATTTTCAGAATGACGTGGTAACCTACATTGCTTTATCCAACATTACCGCTCTTCAAACAGCCTGATGAAAATGAAGTGATGCAATACAATAAGAGTACATTAGGCTAAATATTGCAAAACAGATACAAGTATGTAAATGACAACATGATTATAAGTGGTGACAAGCCTGCTCAGTTATGACTACCAACTGGAGCAGAAAAATAATGACATGTCAACATAACAGTTTTATGTAGTCTTATTCGTAATATACAAAATCAAAGCTGATGCTGCAATATATTACAGCGATTGTATTCATAAATAGGGCGCAATAAAAATTAAACAGTTGATTTGCGTTGCAGTTTTGTACAATTACCTTTAAAAGGATTTCAATACTTTAAAAAGAGTTTCTGCCCTCAGCAGTGTAGCTGCAGAAAGTGACGAGTGTACACATTTGCAGCAATGGGCTTCTGGTGCTCTGCCTTGCACTCTCGAGAAAAATGTTCACATTACAATGAGACACCATGCCACTGTTCGGCATTTCTCCGGGAAGCTGTAATTCACAGGAACTTACTCGAGAGAAAATAGGCAATAGTGGAGCACTTAGAGACTTGGCCCATTATTTTTGAATATCTCAGCAGGTTTAAAGACAGTTATTATACTCTAAACAATCATGGAACGGGAAGACAGTGTGCCGAGCAGAGACACATTTCAAGAACACTTTGGCCGAGATCCCTGCATCTGTAAATGTAAAAAAATCATCATCGTACTCCAACAGTAATGATTAACTATTATATTAACACAGAACATCAATAAACTCATAATCAATTCAACAGCACCTTAATAGCACCTGAAGTTCAGCAACTACATTCAGGCAATATAATCTGAAATATGCGTGCCCCTTGCGTGATTTTAGTTTGCAATAATTATTCAGATACAGTGTTGAGCAAAGCCTACATAAAGTAGGAAACAAATTTATCCCTCTGGCAGGTACGCCCTAAAAAGGAGACATTGCAATCACACGAGGTAATGGGTTTCAGTCCTAGTTTCAGACGCTAACAGCCCACAATTCCGTGACTTCCAATCTGCTTTATTCATATGCAAACCAGGCGTCCCTTTATGTGTAAACAAGGTGGGTGCACTGCTTATGTCTGTGCACTGGCAAATATGTAAATGAGGGAGATGACAGTGGTCCCTGAGGCCTCCGGTGAGGATCACTGATCCAAGTAAGAAGCTTCTCAACCTTATTGGCTCGTTGGGCTGCCCTGGGCGCAGAAAACAATTGCACGGACAAAACTCACGATCAAACTGATATAAATCAATAGGAACTGATTTAGCCTGAAAATTTCACGTAATTTTGCGAGGCGCGTTTGTTGAAACAGCCCTGTTCGAATTTTTTTGTGCAACTGAAGCCTGCTGAGTGTGATTTTTTGCATTACAAAAACCATTCCCACCGCTGCCGTCCCACCTCCACCTGTCGCTTGTAGCTCCCAACCACTACTCCATCTGCCATGTACCACCCCATACCTGGCCTCGCATCCCTACTCTCCCTGCCCTGCCGAAAACAATAACTGAAATCCCAGGATATTGTTGGCACTGACTGTAGTTTAAAGGCCAATGCGAACATAGCGGCGTGAGAGAGAGAGAGACGGGTAAATAGAGCTACAGTAGCGGTGCTGCCCCGTGATTTGTTGCTCATGGTTGGTGGAAGAATCTCCACTTCAGGGAGTTCTAGATTCCCCCCTGGAGGGTATTTAACCTCCTCTTCCACCCACATTTTACCCCACCACACGTAACCTAACGATCATCCAACTGTGGTGTTACCCATTATATTGCTGGGTGGACAAAAGCAGTGGCGCGGTGGGGGGGGAGAGAGATTCAATTACCACTCCGGGAGATCAAACCGGGAAACCTCTGAATTGCAAGTCGAGTGTGCCAACCATTACACCACGGCGGCAAATGGACCAAAACAAAATTGAAAAATTAACCCGTAAAAACAAAGTTTTTCACTATAAATCCTTTATATGCGTGGCATCGGGGCGGCTAGAGTCTTCTCGTCCTCTGGCTTGAGATGGCTGCCACCTATGGGTCAAAAGATTGTGTGCCAGCATTAACCAATTGGTAAATAAATATATTTTTTTTAATTCCCTAAACAGTGTAAAATTTTGGAGAAAAACAATTTCACGAAAATTCATTGTCACGCACAACGAGTATGTGTGCAAAATTTCAGCTCGATTGGATCACGGGAAGTGGGTTAAAAAACGACCGAAAGATTTGCACGGTCCTAAGCAAGCAAGCAAGCGAACTTAATATAAAGGATTTAATAAGTATAACCCGTAAAAACAAAGTTTTTCACTATAAATCCTTTATATGCGTGGCAGCTAGAGTCCTCTCGTCCTCTGGCTTGAGATGGCTGCCACCTATGAGTCAGATGATTGTCTGCCAGTATTAAGCAATTGGTAATTAAATATTTAATTTGTTTTCCCTAAAGAGTGTAAAATTTTGGGAAAAAATTTTCACGAACATTAATTGTCTCGCACAACGAGTCTGTGTGCAAAATGTCAGCTCGATTTGATCACGGAAAGTGGGTTAAAAAACGACTGAAAGATTTGCACGGTCGTAAGCAAGCACGCAAGCACGCAAGCAAGCAAGCAAGCGAACTTAATATAAAGGATTTAAAAATAGAGCGTCATGAAGAGACAGAGCGTAACCCACTGTAGGCACAGCCATAGACCTCCACGCGCAGGCCCACCCAGCGGGAGGCGTTCCAGTCCAGGGGAACAAAGCGAAGGTAGCGTGCGACGATCGGGTGCTGGAGCTCGTGGCGAACCACCTCGTCCGAGTTATCATTGCCTGGAAACACCTGGGGAGCGTCAACACATACACACACACAGCACAGCGGCACTGAGGATTCAGCACGATTTGCAAAATGTCTCTCGATTAAATTTCGATGTAAAGCTTTCGTGACTGCAGGGATTCATATTCTTGGTTCTTTCAGTAAAAGTCACGTAGATGGGAAATAAGAAAAATAAAACAATAAAGTTCTCACGACGTTTCGATTGCAACACAAGCAATCATCATCAGGTGTGAAAAACAAGCAATCATCAGGTGTGAAAAACCTAATGATTTTTTCACACCTGATGATGATTACTTGTGTTGCAATCGAAACGTCGTGAGAATTGTATTGTTTTATTTTTATTATTTTATGATTTCCCTTCTACGTGACTTTACCGAAAGAACCAAGAATATGTCTCTCGATTATTAAGGGATCAAGCTTGCGTATGGCGAGCTTGAGCCCTGTTTGCACCTGGTCAATGGAAATAATGTATTACAAAATAATGTATTACAAAATAATGTATTCAATAATGCATTAAAAACAACCATCTCATTGTTCATAGGAAAGGATGGAAGTTTAATGTGATGAGGATAACCACGAGTCACTTTTATGTAAATCATTTATAAGCGTGTTTATTTACTACTATGATGAGCCAAGAATGTCTGCGAGTCACGCACGTGACGTCACTCCACATCGACCAGCCCCCCTCATTAATAATCATGAGCGGGTGACGTCACTCCAAATCGAGCAGCCCCCCCTCATTAATATTCATGAACAGGTGAGGTCCTCCAAATGGACCCCCCCCCCCGCCATTCATAATAATTAGCGGGTGACGTCACTCCACATGGGGGGGGCGAGGCGCCTCCTCCCCCCTCCTCGGCGTCAACTTACAACCCTCACTACAAAGGCAGAACCCTCGCGTCACGTAATCTCCGTAACGCTGTTGAGACATTGAAGTAAAAAGGACGTCATGATGAACAAGGGATTATAACCTTAAAATTTAATAAGTCTGTGTCACCGCGGCCTTGCAAATTGCACACGAATTGATGCAATGAATATCACGCCGCGGTCTGCTTTTCGCTTGCAAGTTTCAGATTTACTGCAATACACCCGTCCTTGGACGAGCCAAAAGCTATTTGGGAACAAGTCAACAACGAAGGATGTTAGAGATGATCTAAATAAATTATCCAGTAGGCAGTCTCTTGTGCTCATAATATGTACTGTGTAATTCTTCTTAATTAAATGTCCACTTTACTTATGTTGATGAGCACAAACACCGATACTATTTTCACATGGCTGGTCGTGACACAAACCATTATTTTAATAGCAAGGCAACATTTCTATTTTCTCATCATTGGGAACAAGTCAATTTGTCCTCAGCAGTGCAGTGGTGTCTCTGCTGTTTTCATGGATATCCAAAATTGAATTTCTATCACGTCTTTTGCAGTTTGGCACTCCCATGTATACTGCTGTGTTTGTGTGACATAGTAGTCAAATTAACTGTATAGAGTATGCAGATGTGGATCAATATGGGTAAATTAACAATAATGAAAAATGTAATTTCTTAAAATTGTAATGTTTCACACCTGTATGATTTGTGTTGGCTGTATTGTTATTTCTTTGTAATACTCAATGTTGTATTTTGATTTAATGAGAAATGGATGTTTCCATATGGCCTGAGAGTGAGTTTTCGAGCATAGCCTGAAGTGTCAATCGTTAAATAATTATCATTGGGTTGGGAACCAGCTTTCGGGATTGACATTCTTGAGAATGGCCTTGCTTTTCTCAGCAAACTTTTTCTTTTCATTCAAAACAATCTGCTAGATCATCTGGACCACATTAGCTATTTCTACCATTATAATATACCTTCCCAAAAGTTTTAATTACATCACGGATATGTGTTTCATAGATTCGACACAGGCAAGATCCCAACACACTCGTTTACAAATAATATGGATGCCCTCAAATATTTTCCAGAACAAAGGCTGACCAGTGAACTGTGCTCACAGAGACTTAAATTTCACTATCAGCATTCTATCATACCACTAAAGTTTGAGCATGATAATTATTCAAAAAGAACATTTATGTCAACCATTTTATTTGCCTTCCAGTTACATGACTGAGTCACCAATCTTTATGACCCAGATTCATGGTTATGACCTAAACAGTGAGCCTAGAGAACTGCACGTTCGTGATTAATAATGTGCAGCCATCTGCCCATCCACTGCTGAATAAAGTCCTCCTTGCACATTGTCTGTAATTCGGTTTGCTTTGACCATAGTTCACTCTGACGTTCTGTCCAGATTGGTGAAGGGTGCAGCCAGGACCAGTTTCAGATATCAGCTGCTGCCGATGATAGCCATAGCTGGGAATTCAACTCGGTTTGCTGGGTTCATAGCACAGTGCATGGATCACTGCGCCACTGCTCTGCCACACATCGAAAAGTCTGCAGCAATGTAGCAGTCTCATAGCAGAATACATTTTCTGTGGTAGCTTGTCAATATTTTTTTAAAGCTTCCCCAGAACCAATCATTGTTCATGAATCAAAATACTAAACAACTTTAATCTCCAAGACTTCTGCAAGCAAAAATAATACGCTTTATGTTGTTACTCAAAACCATGCATAGCAAAAAGCACTTCGATTAAAGTTGGTTATTGATAGAAGTTATGGAATAATGAATTACATATATAGGTGGAGTGGTTTTGCAGTACAGTAGTTACTACTTTGGAACTTGAACCTGGTGATCCGAATTTGATTCCAGGCCATGGATAAAATGAGTGGTGAGTGGCGAGTGCGACTAATTCTGGGACCACTCATTAATAATCCACACCGAGCATGATTAATATTATATCATTATATTGAAAAATATAATACATCATTAGCGGGGCAAATGTCTAACAAATTTTAAGAAATACCTGCCTGTGACTGCTGATGATCATCACACTGTGAAACTGCGACAACAATAAACGTTGTATTTTTAGGTCTCTGTAAGTAGAATCATCACAGTATGTTGTTCATCATTTTCTACCTGGCTTTCTTTTACGGTCGCTATGAAATTTCATTGGGCTCCATGACCCCCCCCCCCGCCCAGGCCTCACCAGGTGAGTGGTTACACCACCACACCCATCGATTGACCTCTGCCGGTGACAACCAGTAAGGGTGGAAGAAGCAAAAAAGAAAGATCGAACCGGGATAAAACAAAGAGAGAGCAAGCACACACGATGATGGCTTGATGGAGACATGAGTGACAGGCTGTCTGTAAAGGTAATGAAAGAGGGAATGTGTGAGCACTACTGTGCCACTGCAGTATCCTTGCAACACAAGAAAGAAAATCCTTGATTTTTTATTTATAATCATCCCCTGGTCGGACAGTTTTTTGTTGTTGCCTGGAACAACGGAGTGAAATATATTTCATGATCTATGAAGTAGCACAATTTGAAATTCAGCAACACACACACTTTAGAGTCAACCCTTTGCATTGTGAATATATATGCGCTGCTTTTGTGGATTTCTTTGTCGATGTTAATTGCCTATGTGAAATTATTTTTTGTTTTGATTTGAAGCTTTCGTGACTGCAGGAATCCATACTCTTTGGTTCTTTCGGTAAATTCACGTAGGTAGAAAATAAAATAAATCACGACGTTTTGATCGCAACACAAGTGGTCGTCCTCAGGTGGAAAAATAAAATATATAATCCAGCAGTAGAACTGCTGAACGGGTCTGAATGGTTCAGCAGTTCCACTGCTGGATTATATTTTTTCCGCCTGAGGACGACCGCTTGTTTTGCGATGAAAACGTCGTGTTTTATTTTATTTTATACCTACGTGACTTTACCAAAAGAACCAAAGAGTTTTTTTTGTTTACTGTAATTTGTTATTACCTGCAATAATATTTTTTTGCACGTGTTTTCTCCGTGACGTCTTTTTTGAGTCACGATTTCTCACGTGAATGTAAATAATCATACTGCAAACTTGATTTCAGTGGCGGCTCCTGCAAAATCTCTCAGGGGGGGCAAATGTCTGGATGATTGATAAGGATAAGGTCCCCACCCATGCAATGGATAAATTAACAGCTTAAGCATGTAAAGGCAACTTCACTTCTTTAATATTAATGAAAAATAAAGTGACTCTTACAATACATCTTGTTTGTTTCTATACTCACTATTAAAACAAACCACTCAAGTTTATTTTATTAAAGATTACACTAGGTGGCCACAAATTATATTGTTGGATGAAACGTGCTTACGTATGATGACGTAAGCACGTATGATGACGTAAGCACGTTAGGGCGAGCCCTCCCGGAAGCCATAGAGAATGCATTGGAGCGCCCCCCGGTCGAAAAAAAACATCTTTGAATGTAAGTCTATGGGGCCACTCTGGGCGATTCTCAGCCAGAGTGAAATCGCCCAAAAAGAGGCGGTACTCCACAGAACGTGACATGACGCTGATTGGACTATATCCAGAGGCTGCAGTGACGGCTAGCGTGACTCTGTGGTTCAATGACATTGGTAGTGCGTCGCCCAATCGCCCTAATGAAGAAACCGCCCCTGCTTGATTTGAAGCTTTCGTGACTGCAGGAATTACTCTTTGGTTCTTTCGGTAAAGTCTCGTAGAAAGAAAATAAAATTATTAAATATTTTTCTTACACCGCCTAAATACAATTAATATTTGTTTAAAGTAATTACTATCGATTCAGTGGTGGATAGCAAGTTGTCCACCAGGATAATGCCTGAAATGGCTTTCATTATGACCTTTTAATTATGATTATCATTCACTATAATCTAACCACTTTTGGATGAAGGCCTCCCCAAGCCATCACCGTCTCCCACGGTGCTTACGATTTAACAATCCATCTAGCACCTGCACATGAACTGATCTCGTCACTCCATCTCCTCGGTGGATGTCCTCTGAGGTGTGTTTCCTCTTTTGGCTGTCAATTCGTCGTTAGCCACCAGCCATCATCTCTTTGAGCGACGTGTCCTGCCCAAGCCCGCTTACTTTACTTAAATCACAATACAATGTCTCTA